AGCACATGCATAGAGTACCTGTAGCCGTACTAAGAGCCATTTGTACCACATGCTCATGTCGAGGTGTACATGACTTGTTGTTGTTCATGTGGAAGGCAATAGTCCTCGCCCTGGCCTGCTGGATCTTTCCACAGAGTTTCCTGGTTCATGTGCGGCCCCTCTCGGAGGCCGGGAGGAGGGTCCAGGGCCTCTCAGCCACAGGCCTTGCAAGTACTAGATGCACACCAAGAAGCGCAGCTGAACCCAGGAAACCTTGAGGCCTGCAGGCGTTTTGAGAACACAGCTTTGAAGCATGCGCCCCGAACCCTACATCGCTTTGCTGCCTGTCGGCAGCAGCAGCTGAGCCTCCGAAAGTCCCCAAAATTTCCGTACTCCAAACTCCTTGAACCCAAGCCCGGAAACTGCCGAGCTCTATTCGCAGGCGAACTGAGTAGTCGCTCTTGGAGGATGACTAGAGTGTAAAGGTCAACACCCTAAACACATGGGCCGCTTCGAACCTTGGCAGCATTGCCACCACCACCACTACCACAAAAGCCTCTAAACTGCCGAAACTGTGTCAAGATGCCAAGCCCGTCAACCCGAGAGCAAACAAAGCACACGCATCAGATCGAAAGAGGATGCCGGACCTGCTGCACGGCTCCTGGCGCCGGGTCTGGCTTGGGCCTTAAGACCTGAGCTTCGATGGGATGCTAGATCGCAGTCGCGCAGCATGAAAAGAAGTCGAAGAAGACCAACGAGCATCATCTTTGCTGGGACGTGACGGACACGAAGCTTCGGTTGCTGATACGATGGCCTTTACTCTGGGCAAACGCTTGTTGGGGTTCGTTTTTCTTGAGTGAACTTCAAGCTCCAAGCGACCGAGCCAGAAGGACGTCGAAGTGGAGACGAGAACCTGAAGGAAGTCCAAGGAAGTCAGGGCTTCCCCAACGAGGTGGACCACCGAAATCCAATTGCGCCCGTCAGGCTAGAGACAAGACCCACAAACCATAGATGTTTGTGGGTTCTATTTGCATGTCTGATAACTTCCGAGGCATTGACGGTCGGTTCCTCCATGCTGCTGCTTGGGCCTGGGCTCTGGCCTCAACTGATGTTGCACAGTGTTGGACTGGGTATTTATATTATATGTAGGTTGTGTATGTTGTGTGTGCATATATGTACAATATATGCACACAGAGAGAAGTACAGGGCAACCTTAACCCGACACCATACACTCTACATAGACCTTTACAGGGTTTAGGAAAGTTGTACCCAGAGCTTGTTCGGAGCACATGCGGACGGCAGTTCGGTCAAAGACGAAAAATTATTTGTGGGACATGACCGGCCATTAAAACCAAAATCATAGGTGACCCTAGGTAGCGGTACTGTAAGATACTTCTGCAATCGGTTTGCGGGTCTGACCTGCCAGCTGTGTGTTCTGCTCTCACGAAGCAAACACCAAAACAAAGTGGGTTGGAAGAAACTAAGTATATACTAAGGAATGCTACGTCCTACATCCGCAAATTGAAAGACCTCATATGAGAACAGTGCAAAAAAGGGCCTAAAACAAACAAACCCTGAAAGAACAGTCGAGGCAATGTCGAGGCATGGCTGATTGCATGTGTTTCCTACAACTGTTCTTGTTGATTTGGGTTTTGCTGAAGTTGTATTGGTGCTTCGCATCCAGTTAAGAGTGGTTGAAATGAAGCCAAAACGCGCTGTTCAGCTCATTATTTCATTTTCCTCGTTCACTCACACTTGAAGCAAATCAGACGAAAAGACCAAAGAGTGAACGCAAAAAGAGCGGAGAAAAGAGTCGCGTGGTTCGTGTGTAAGTAATGCGAGCATTCCTTACGGTTAAATTTCAACAACAGCTCGAACCTGTTTTGCGTAAACTATGAGTTGGCTCAAAGAACAGCACGGAGGCTGCTGCAACAGACCATAGTGCCTGTCGAGGTTCCGACGGTTGAGTCCGGCGAAATGGACACCCGGAGCGATGGCATTCGCAGTGCTACTCCCATGATTGCTGCCCCATAAGCTGGAATGGTGGCTGAAGGGCCAACGCCTACAAGTCGAACGAGCATACTAGATGATGTGTCATGTGCCGCTATGTACAACATGTGTGGGTGTGTGTTCGTGCGCCTCTCAGTCATGCACCTATCTAAGTAGACTGCACTGCTATGTATGTAGGTTGCTGCTGTATGTATGCATGCAGCATGCATGCATTTGTCTCTCCTTGTTGTTGCACACCTAGGGACCTAGGCAATATGTTTGCGTGTATGAGAACTTGTGCTCGTATATGCACATAGAGGACACACACGCAGGTGTACGTATGAAAGCTAGACAGAGTATGCAATATTGCATGATTGCAAACTAGTGAAGCTCGCGGAACTCTGCAGAGCCCTTTGGCTTTGCCAGGCTGCTTTCTCGGCTTTCATGGTTGGCTTGGGTCTGGCCCGTGGGCCCAGCAAGCGCAGCGTCTCTGCGTGTGTTGTATTTTGGAGAGGCGAGCTGGTCAGAAGGACTTTACTTTCCTCCTGATTGTTGCCGTTGGTATCAGCAAAGAGCCCTTGCACTGAACCTCGCCCTGCATCCAGATGCCGATAGGACGGACTGTCAAGTGTAATCTTTTTTCCACCAGCAGCATGTCTTACGCCTCAGTCAGGAGAGGACCCGGGTTTTCAAGCAAAGCTTGTGCATTTTCATAAACTAGACGCACAAGTCGTGTCATCACGGAGGCCTGTCAACCTGTACGTGCTGCTAGCCTTCCAAGCGGCCTGGAGATAGGTCCGCTCGGCAGGCTTGCAAGTAGGTGTGTCGTGTGTCGATGTTGCCCGTAAGCCATTGCCCATACACCCGAAACCCGAAACCGAACCAAACTACAGATGCAGTAAGCAAATAACAAGCTTTCCGAATGCCCGGTGCCTCATGCATCAAGGTTGCACGACAGGAGAAGGTAGGCTGGGGAATAATGTATATGAGTATATGTAAACGCACACACACACATACACATACTTTCTGTGAGGTGAAGGGTCTGCGTCGGACGCACCTGAAGCACAAACAAATTCTTGGATTCACATGCGAACGTGTTCGGGAGCAGTTTGCACTGATGGGGCTCCCCATGCCTGTAGCACGAGAAGGCAGTCCCCGGAGCAGAAATCTGCTACGCAGCACGGCCTATGCCGCATGCACAAATGGCAAGCCGGGATTATGATTAACGTAGCATGCAGGCGAAGCAGAGGGCCGCAAGCTCCATGAATAACCACGAAAGCACGCTTGAAGAGCCACCTGCGAACTCGGGAAGGGCTGCAGGAGACGTGATCGGTCAGTCCGTCTGAAAAGCTGTTAACCCGACTGACAAGATCGTTCCTGGCAGGCCATCCAGCCAAATAGTGCAAGAGAGGCTGAGAACTCAGGACCTGCAAAGAACTAACAAAAGCTACACCCCCGGAGCAGAAATCTACAAGCAGGTAGTGCACTGGGGGGTGCCAAATCTGAGCATTTCAAGCCCAAACAAGGGACCGGAAGGTACCCGCAACTCACAACTACTTGTTCAAGCATATTCCTCACGGTGTCAGATGTAACTACGAGCAAGACTCCACGCGGCAGAGATTCAATCGTCACTGCGCCACGACACTACCCTGAGCCTATTCCTCCAGGGAACAGGNNCAGTCACAACACTGTGCCCGCTTCAAGCCACTCTTCTCCGACACCTCATTCGCATCCTTGTCCATGTCCAGAGTGTGCGCGGACGGGATCATGATTATCTCATTCTGAAAGCCTATACATACATACATACATAC